GGAGACCCAATGTATAGTTACAGTATGGTAAAATACAATATCGGTAAGCAACTTGATTAAAGGTATAAAAATATATTCATTTTTTACATATTTTGGTTCATTCTACAACCAGTTTGTTATTATTATTATTTTATTTTTTTGTAAACTATTAAACGAAAGAGTTGTATTGCCGTCTTATGGTAGAGTATTATATATTTTTCGTCCTATACATAAGTGAGTTGACTGAATAAGTTCTCTATGTATTTAAGGTACAATTATATGCTTGATAAATTGTCCTGTATATAAAACATAGAACAATTAAAATTTCTAAAAAATCGAATTTTTCTTTAAATATTTGATTTAGGTATACTATTGTTACATAATATTGTTGTAAACTAATTCGTCGTTATATTTTGTTATTGAAAACTTTATTCAATTTTCTATGTATATGCCCGGTAAGCTTTTGAACAGTAACGACTTGATAATAATTTATCCGTGTGTGTTCACGATTATCAACGAGCAGAACAAAATACACATTACCTATACAAACAACGCACGTGCGAGCGGAAAATAACGTTATTTGAGCGTTTATGATAAATTTGTAAACTTACACACAGCTGCAAATAGAATTTAGCGTAATGGTCCGTCGCAAGAATCGCGCAAAGAGGATTGCGGGGGTGGGGCGTAGCCTCCGCGAGTCTTTGATGCCGGTGCCGGTGGTCTAGTCATACGCCTACGTGCGCAAAACAATCCACGGACATTGCTTCCCTGTCGTTTTAATTATAATTATAATGCGTTCGCGTAAAAACGTGAAATAATATCCTCGTTACCAAAAAGTTGGTCAACGGTGATGACAATAATAAAACCGGCTATAAAATGTTCTACGAACCCTAATAGTCGATCGATCGTCGGGGCCGGAGAAGGTTTGGCGACGAATCGAAGTCGCGCCCGGACACTGTAATGTACGTGGTTATGAACATTATCAATCTGTAATTCACAACAATTCGCGTACAATCAATAACATTGGAATATTGAGTTTTCAACGGGTCAATTTTGTTAATTTGTTACGAATTATCATAAAACGCTGTAACGATAATGATAATATTTGATACATTCAAATTATTGCCGAAAATGTGCTGAAACGCATTGCTATTCCTAGGCAAATGACGAAACTCAATTCGTTCGATAAAATGTAATCTTGCGGTCGACCGCAAGTGTGGTTTTCGATCTATGCGTCGCGACTCCCGTGGTTTAGTGTCAAGGAACCCGTGTCTATAGTAAATACAGTAGAGTAGGTACTACAGTAAAATATTTATTTACCTATTTTAATTTTTATTACTATCATTATTCGTAAGGGGGCGGCTTATATTTGTATTTCAAAATCAGAAGAGCCGCGGACCCAAAAAGGTTGAAAACCACTGCAATGGACTATCAACTGTTTTAACGCGACCCGGTACAACGGATATTTGTTTTTCGTTTCCGAAACTAAGTCATCATTGTTACGTAGTGGCTCGTCCGTTGACGTCCGTTCGCACCATTTCCACCGTCGGTTTCCGTCGTTTTCACGTTCTAGTCATTATAAAATTCAAGGGTATCCTGGCGAAATCCCGCAAAAAAAAGAAACGCATGAAACAAACTACAAAGTAAACGTGTTTTTCTTTACAGCTTTTTTTTTCACAGGCTTAGGACCAATAGTGAATTTTAAAGATGCACGTTTGAAACATATTGAACGGGCGTATTAAAAGAATAATACGAGTAAATGGCAAGGTATATAAAGAAAAGTCCACGATGTTATATTTCTAATTCTTATTATATCACGAACGGTTTATCCGCGATAAAATATCCGTAAATAATTATAAAATTTAGTAAAAATAAAATATACGAACTGGCCCAAAACAACGTTCCCGTACAATGATATTTCGAACGCAACCCTTTGAAATTCACCGTATTGGGCCAGCTTATGTTGGGTAAAGTTATGCCTAGTGAAGTTTGAAAGAAAAGTAAAACCGAAAAAAAAAATACGTTTACTTTTTAGTTTGTTTTGTCCTTTTTATTTGTTGTTTTTTTTTTTTTTTTTGCGGGATTTTACCAGACGGTATTTTGTCAGGAAAGGATTTTTTCCGAACGGGATTTGGTCCTAGATTCCAAATTGAGAAATCGAGTAGCTTTCTTTCGTTATTGATCCTCTTTGTCATACGTTCCGTTTCGACAATAAACCGATGGCTTAACATAACAATATATAGTTGGAAAAAACGATTTTTTTTTTTTTTTATCAACATAAAATTTATTAAAGAAAATAATTTATTTTTTTTTTTTTGTGATCGATATACATTTGCAATCTTTATAGTCATATGCCGGTCATCTTTAATAATATACGAAAATCGAGGTATTGGAATCTTGCACGGCTAATATACTGCTCACGGATAGGCCACTTTCAGCTGTAGATGAGCAGTTGGAAAAACGGGGCATACCTGGATAGTTTTTACACTGTACGCATCGGGGAATTATTGAAAATGTAAAAACGATTCTGGGCACAGTAGCAATATCTATTGCGCCATAGCCAAGGTAAGCGAAATTTGTTGTTAGATTCACACTTCAATGAATTTTCCGGATTTTCGAATAAACTATACTACCGGACGAAAAACTGCTCGTCTTATTAGGTACTCTTTTTGAGAAAAAAAAGAACACACGCACAACGTATCACAGTAAATCGAATAGCTTATTCACCTACACTCGAAACAGTAGAAATCGTATACAGTTACGGTGGAAATAAAAAACTACTGATTTTCTCGACCGAAAACATCGCAGAGAAGACGTTTTTTTTTTTTTTTCTTTTCCCTTGCCATCCAGTTACAGTCGCTTGTAGGTGGATAATATTATTACGTCGAGTATTTACCACAGTTGTCAAAATACCCGGCGGCGGCGACTGTCTATTAAAATCCGGTAAACAAATCTTCCCAAAAAAAATAAAAATAAAATAAAATAAAAAACCAAGGCAATTAAAAAATGGAGAGGAACAAAAAAAAAAAAAACGATCGACACGTATTAAGTAATCTCGGTTAATCACGGTAGGGGGTGGCGGGTGGCGGGGATGGGACGGGGACGGTTTAACGTCGCGATCGATACCGAGGATTTAAAATCGTAATAATAATTAATTTCGTTTTCGGTCCGGTATAGATACGCGATATTTCAAAATAATGCGCGCGGTACAATACGATAATAATAATATATAGGTATAGAATATGAATGTTCCCGAGATTCGTGAAACCGCGTAAATAGATAGGTATTATAAATATTATATTGCCGCGTTTGCACACGCGCGTATACACTGCAGTGTCCTTCCCCCCTCCCCCGCCCGCCCCGAAATACCATTATACAATTATTCAATCAGATCGAATCGGTCCCCGTTTGCGTATAAACCGTTTAGATTTATTAAGCTTTGCGGGCGGTATATTATAATATTATTTGAAGTCCGTTCAAACGACCCGGAATTATAATGTTTTATACGGCCGCCGCCGCCGCCGCCGTGCACTGCGTAATTCGTCATAAATCCACCTGAAAAATCCGTTGAAAACGCTGCAATATACGGTACGCGCCGTCACAACGTTCCGCATTATGGAAATTGGACGTTAATAATTTCGTTTGATATCGCGATACTCGAAAACCGTGCATTGTGTAATATCATTATGCCGCGGTTAGGATAATGTATAGCAGGCGCATGCGACTCGATCGGAACCCGAACGTTTAATTAAACGTTTACCGCGGCGTTAATAGCGAGCTCGAAAATGAGGAAAAATTACAAGCGTGGTTCGCTTTTATGTTTTAAAAGGGACATACTTCGCGCGATCACTGGGTCACGGTTGTGGATGCGAAGTTTGGAAGGTAGTAGTGGCGGGGAAATTGAATGTAACGAGAAACGATTCTAAGCGGAGTTCGGTTAATAGTGTTGTTTCATCAACACTATTAACAGATATATGGCATATTATGGTAAAACGATTGCATACTATGCAGCATATAATATTCGTTTAATATTACATCTATTTTCCCGGTTTTCCTACGTTTTTCCACGTGTTTTTCCATATATTATGAAAACAGCTGGGAAAATCAAAAAACGACTCATTTAAACATCATTCCATAAAAAAAAAATGTTAAATTTACTTTCAGCAAAAGTACTTCACTTGAAAATCGGAGCGAAATATTTCTGGTAGAAAAGTTAAGATAATAAAAAATTTAAAAAAAAAGCATTGTAAAACTAATACATTCCCCACTTCACTTAATATCTAAAATTTCACTATGATATAATAATAAAAATTGATAATAATGATAATATTTGTTCGGCTAACGTGTTTTTTAACGTATAAAATACGATTCATGGTGCGAAACGTAGTGTTGTTCATTGTTCAGTATACTTGAATTTATTTTCCCGTACGTTACTACAGCTTACTTATTATTTGTTAATATCCATCGACTATTTATTACGGTTCTTTAAATTGTACTGTATAAAGTACTAGACACAAAAATGCGAGTGCAAAGGTAGGCCGGGGTAAGCCGAGAGTGTACTGCGTGCACTCGCGCTTCCTCACCTCGCCGAGACTTCCTCGGTGATTGTGTACTTTCGGCTTTAGAAAAGGTGTTACAAGTAAGATTTTGAAATTTTTGTAACAGTAAAAATAAATTAAAAAATCATTGTAAAACCAATATATTCTACACTCGAAATCGAAAAATGACCCTGACAACACGTCCAATATTATGTTTAAATGTCTAACGTATACTACTACTGGCTCGAATATTATGATATAAATATAATATGATAAGAATATTAATAACATATTAGTCGGCAAAATTTAAATCCCCTAGCGACGAGATTTTTAAACAATACTGCAATGGTTTAATAGTTTCTCATCGTCATTTCATTAGTAAAAGTCATAGTGGCCGAAAATTATATTCAGACGCTTGTATTTTTAACACGAACCAACTTTTATTGAAACCGGACTTTTTGTATAACTTTCACCGAAACAACAATGCAAACCAATCGATTTGCTTTTCTTGGAAGACGGATGTTGCAGGCAGTCGCCTCAAGAAATACCGTCAGTAGCTTCAGTACCCGGATGAATCCAACGTCATTCTGGTGGTCGAAAAAGTCCGCAGAACCGAGTAGTCAGAAATCCGGGGAGCCGAGTCCGAAGAAATCTGGGAATCCATGCGCGAATAAATCCGAGAACCCGTGCGCTAAGAAATCCGTGGACCCATGTGCGAAGATACCCGATAACCCATGTACGAAGAAACCCGTGGACCTGTCAGCTAAAGTACCCGACAATCCGTGTGCGAAGAAACCCGAGAACCCGAGCGTGAAGAAACCCGAAAACCCATGTGCGAAGAAGCCCGAGAACCCGAGCGTGAAGAGACCCGAGAATCCTTGTGAGAAGAAACCCATGAACCCGGTAGCTAAGAAAGCCGAGAACCCGTGCGCTAAAAAACCCGAGAACCCAAGCGCGAAGAAACCTGAGAACCCGTGCTCGAAGAAAACCGAAAAGCCGAGTGCGAAGATACCCGATAACCCTTGTGCGAAGAAACCCGTGGACCCGAGCAGTAAGAAAACCGGAGAGCTGAGCGCGAAAAAACCCGACAACCCGTGTGCAACGATACGCATCAACCCAAGCGTGAAGAAACCCGACAACCCGTGTGCAAAGAAACCCGTGGACCCGTGCAAGTAAAAACCCGTCGACTGGTGAAAAACTATCACATATTACAACTTATAGAAAAAGTAAATATAAGTTTTTTGTTAAAGTTTTAAATCTCTACAAATATTTCATCCTTGGTTAAAACGAAGACACAAAATTGAAAATAATGAAAAAATTATTTTGATAAAATCTCCAGTTTTCTACTTTATTTCGGTTTTGCTCAGTGGGGATTGTCAGAAAAAAAAACAATTTTATTAAATCCACGAACCTTATTGTAATTAACATTGGAGTGCAGAAATTAAACTAATATTTTGTTCTGACTTTTTAATTCTTCATATATATTGAGTTAAAAAATAAATAAGAATTCAAAACGATCGGTATTAGCAGGAACCAAATGTGTCATACCTGATTTCTGGTTTGGTGGGTTACTATTGTGACTAAAACCATACCTTATCATGTATCTCAGATTAAAAACTTTATTAACACGTCCTTATCAGTATGGTAACCTTAGTATATCTGATGTTTGGCAAGACACATTTGAATTCACGCCAAAACTGATCTTTTAAAACCAGTTAAATTTTTAAAAATACCTAAAATAATGAAAAAAAAAGGTATTTTTTCATTCAAACAAAACTATAGAATTGGGAAAAATGCATTTGAAAAACATTGCCAACACCCATTATAAAACAATATTATAAATAAAATAAAAATATGACATTCTTGGACACCACCTAGATCAAAAATTCAACAACAATGATCACTTGACATTTGTTTATTGGAGCCATAATTTTGCTATAAAACATATTCCATACAAATTTAAAATAATGAAATCATTGCACCGTAACTTGAATAAAATCGTATATTTCGGTTTTTTTTAATTTTTCCAATTATAATAAAAAATACTTAAGATATCAAAAAAAAAAAACATCTTTCTCTGACAGTGGCGAAATATTAAAAGTAACAAAATCGATCTCTTATCAATTTCGGATTGGATCAATATTTTTGGTAAAAACATCGTGTGAACTTAACAAAAACAATGATAACAGTAACGTCGTGGCGTGCAGTAAATATTCGTCGTTTAACCTATTATTTTTTATTCCGGTTTTTTCCAATTATTTCGAAAACTCTTTAGAAAATCACAAATGATCTACCTAAATACATCAACGAAAGAGAATAAAAGGTGCTTTAGTGTATACTTCGGAACATACTTTCTGGTAAACAAGTTGTTCACAGACAAACGAAAAAAAAAAACATAAAAACCAATATCATAGTAAAATCAATAGCGACGCTACATTCCGAATTTAAAAGCAAAAAGAAAAATAAACATCATTATAATACCAATTAATTCCTCGCTAAGGTTCAGAAGTAAAAAAAAAACTAATACCGGGGACGGGTGTACCACTGTCGTATTTGGGAAGTCGGATACATGAAATTTAATCGGTAACCAAGTATAAACCATTTTTTACAATTTTTTATTTTGAGTGCAGTTCTGATATACATGTTTTAAATTTTTTTAGATTCGGGGTGTTTCAAGGAATGTATTGGCTTTACAATGATAACACTTTCTCTGAAAGGAAATCTGACTAGGTGTCACATATTTTGATTTTCCCATGAGTTTTCCTGATAAATGAGAAATTCATGGAAAACCGGGAAAAACACGAAAGAAAAACGGAAAAATGTGGAAAATATTTACAATATTAAAAAAAAATGAATAATGCATATTATGTAAAATCTTACCATAATGACATATGACATATTGTTGACAAAGCAACACTATTAACCGAACTAAGCTCAGAATCGTTTTTTCGTTAGCATTGGTTAATCGTTGCATATAGATATACATTCAATTTTTCCCCCTAATACATTCACATTTCCCCATACACAACAGTGGCATACTTACGTGCGAATTAGGTCCGTCTCTTTTTTTTTTTTTATGTATGAACAACTTCTACTTTCTACCACAAAACTTACTCCAAATTATAGACTATAGCACCTGTTGTGAAAGGTAATTTTCTTTAATTGATGCATTAAGGAAGTAGTTTTGTTGATTCTTAAAGGGGTTTTTGAAACAGTTTGGAAAAACCCCAAAAAAATTAAAGGTAAAACGGCAAACGTTTACGGCGCACCGCGGCATTTCTGTTTTCCCTGTTTTTATTATGTTTACACGATGTTTTCTACCATAAATATTGCTCGAATAAATAAACAAGAGACCTTTTTTTATTTTGTTTTTGACGGAATTTATAAGCATGTTGTTCGTTTTTATGATATTTTGGTAGTTTTATTAATAATTGAGTAATACCGAAAAAAAAAAAACTTTGAAAAAATGGAAAATTTTACGAAAATATTGATTTTATATTTTCAATTTTGTCTTTTCTTTGTAATTAAGGTTAAAATATTCGTAAATACCTAAAATGTTGACAGAAACCTATATTTACTTTTTCCAGGCTACACCATTCCCCAGTATCGGTTTTTTTTTTTTTTACCACTTATTACCACGCAGCATATTATAACCAATATAATATATGTTTTGCTCCGTTCAGAATTTCAAAAAAAAATAAAAATATTTATCGATTGGCCTACAATATTCGAAATATTTCAGATTTTGAAAGTTTCAATACGATGTGTGTGATTTTTCGTACCTACAGCTTTTCGACCAGAATTCTCGCTCCGGTTTTCAAGTGTACTTAAAATAGTGTATTCTAATAGCATATTTTGTCCGATCGGTGTAGCGTTTGATTTTCCTCCGGGTTTCATTTTCAATCGCAAATTAACGTAATATTCCGTCCAAAAATAATTTATGAATGAAAAATGAATTAAAATTTTCAAGGTAGCAACGGTTTACGGTTAGGTAAGGTTAGGTTAGGTATCTTAGGTTAGTATCTTAGACACGTGGAAACTGTGAATGACTACGAAACTCGATATGACACGTTATCATTTTTAAAATTCTGAACCCGTGATATTCTTTTCCTGCCAAGTCCTCTTTTTCAAATATAATCCCTCGCAAAATGGATTTTAAAAGTAAATATAGCCTATATAATTCCTCGTTATGCGTCCTAGTTATCGGAGCATTCTTGTATTAACATTTTTCCGCAAATTGTATCAAAAATAGCACAAATTTATTTTTATCGATTATTTCACTGACAAATTATTCGATTCCAATACTTCTTACATGGCTAAATTCGGCACGAAAAACTTTTAACTTATACTTTTAACTAGCGGTAAAATTGCGTACTATAATTTACAAAATGAAAACAGGGTAAATGTGATACACAAATTATTACATGATTAAATAAATATTATATGGTGTAATTATTTTAGTTTTGTTTTATAACTGCACGTGTCTCATATAAATACGGCACATAATGCTGTTGATTAATTTAATGCATGAAGTCCTGCACAAATATATAGTTTTGGCGCGCGTTGCGCCATTTTAGGCACACATTAAATTTTGTGCTTTTTAGGGTTAAAAAAGGTCGACAAATTGTTATTATAAGTATTTTTCCATGTCATCTTGACTACAAATTTATATTCATACATTTTTTCGAAAAAAAAAAAAAAATTCACGCAAAAAGGGGTTAATGGTGTTTACGAGCTCAGTGTCCTTTTTCACGGTCCTCGTCCAATTTCGTGTTACACTGTATGATTCCAATTTAAAATACACTATTAAATTCCAGAGAAATTGTTCCGGTCGACGGTTTTACATTTCGTTTTCAATTTTCAATAATAAATTATTGTTCATGTTAATTCGTCTCGTTCTCTTAATAATTCTTCCCGCGGTCCTCTAATCTTCCTAAATTCATATTTGACCTTGCCGCACCACACATACAACTTAACGATCGTGCCGCTTTCGTTTATATTTCCTTCCGTTTTACGCACACTATCGCCGATCTCGCAACAGTTTTACACAACATTTCCCTTTTGTCTCTAACGACACGTTTTGAATTCACAAAATTCTCCCGTTGGCTCCCCTCCGTCACTTCTTAATGCCATTATATTATAACTGTACGTCCTTCCGAAATTCTTCTGTCCTATTGTTCCGCCGCAAGCCTATATATTTGAACTTTTCGACTCGATTTATTATTATTATTCGTCAGTTTAATTTAGGCCATTCGGGCCCTTCGCTCGCCTTCACAACCGCCCCTCCATCAGTTGCCGTTTCGTCACCATTGTTCATTTACAGCTAGTTTGAAACCCTTCGCACTCCGACCGTCCACCTCCGTCTTGGGCGGCCTATGGCAGCTTTTGCGGTCCATTTCTCGGATTGTATTTGTTCGATAATATCGCCCCTCTATAATATCGTTTTCTCCCTATTCGCTCGAATACTCTAGTGCATTGGTTCCCGAACTGCAGTGGATCGTGAATATATATTTGGTATGTCACGTAAAGTGTGTGCAACGCGCGTGTATAATATTATGTAATTGTATTAAAAAATATACAAATTTTAAAATTTTCGATTAATTAAAAAAATATGATACACATTATACACACCTTTATTTTTATGAAAATAAAATAATATTTTATGTATACATATCATTCGTTAGTGTGTGTGACAGTACAATTTTCCGTTTTACCAAATGTGCTAATTTTGTAATTGATCGTTACACAGTACCATGCACTCACACTGATTATAAATCCTCCGTCCTCCGTCCGCTAATAAGTAAACAATTTTTTTTTTGTTAAATTTGCTAAAATTAATCGTACCTTTATACCAAAATATGTAGTTACATATTATACGATATTGATACTGTAAATGTCTTCTTTATATTAGTAAATTTACTTCATTTACGAGCATATAAACAAATGTAAAAAAAAAAAAAGTCTGAAATGGGTCATATCATGAAAACTGCGAGTACCTCGGCTCTAGTGTTCTAATATTGGTCCAAAAATTTTGTCGCAGGACTTTCTCTCTGGAATATTGCAAGATTTGGTTCATATTCTTCTGTACTGGGCCGTGTCTCACACACTGAGAGTGTAACGGATCATAACATAGCTACTCTGATAGACTAAAATGGTGTTATCACAGACAGATTCACTGATAACACATTACGTTAGTTGCATAGTCCGTCAGAAATATCGTTTAGCCGTTAATGTTTTGGGTATTGTACTATCAGAGTACGACCCGCAATAACACGTGTTCAAAAAAATATATTATGAATATTTCACATTTTCCGAGTGTCACTTTTAATTTTCATGAAATAATATTTTTGCATAAATACCGTCAAAAAAACCACATGTACGTTGTGTACAATAGAAATATGAGCTGGATAAATTTTACCGATGTTCTTTTACACCTTTTTAATCCGATGACGGTCACTCAGTTACCTCTCGTTCGAAACTGTTTCAAGGCCTAACAACATATTTATTTAGGTAATTTTCAGTTTATACATGTGTAAGGTGAATTTCATGAACATTAATGTTTTGTCATCATAATATTTTATATAACAAAATTGATTTGAGTGATAATGAGTTTTTATATTTTCATTTAATCTTGTGTAGTTGCAATTATATGTTCTTAACTTCACATATTGCAATTAATTTAAAACTTTCTTACTATTATTCGGGACTTTAAAATATAATTTGTTGTTTATTTTTTAATTTTAGATTCTGAGCGTGGCGTGGATTATATTGATTTAATATTTTTATTTTATTACTTATATAAATGTATCCAATTTACCAAATTTCACTTAAATTCACGTACAGACAATTTTTGATCAGTAAATTTTACGTCTCGAATAATATGTGGTGATCGCGTTTGGTTAGATCAGTGTTTGCGCGTTTATTATCACAAATTATAGATAGTTTTATACTATCGGGAATGCAAAGTGTTACAAACAAACGTTTAAAACGGTCGAAAACTAAATTCAAATACGTCCTGAAAAGAAGAGATATTTGTACACGGTTTTAATTCATTCTTAAAATACAAATGAAAACAAACAATGCCTATTACTCTTGGATAAAAAGTTAACATTACCTACTCCAATTGTTTTTTTTTCTTTGTAAAAATAATATTACAAATACAATTTTGTTACGTAATTAACTATTGTTATTTTAGTGTAGTTGACAAAAAAAAAAAAAAAATAAAAAAATAAAATAAAATAAAATAAAAAATAAAAAAAAATTATTTTTCGAATCGCATATCATCTGAAATAAAATTACGCGGCTAATCTTACTATCAACTACTGCAAGAAGTGTCTTAACACTCAGTGTAGTATTATACAGGGTGATTTTTTTTATTATGTACTGTTTTTCAATCATTGTGAAATCGGTTAACCTTTACTTAACCTATTTAATTTCCTACCCCTACGCCACATACCTTCAATAAGTATATAATTTTGGTTTTCAAAGAGAAGCTCCCCTTTTTGAATACCGATTTGAATACAGTATTATTTTTCTAGAATTTTTGACACGCGTGACATATCAGATGTATTGTTTATGAATAATAACCGTTTAAAGTTCAGACGAGAGGAGCAGGAAAGGATAATAAACTGCATATCTATTTATAAATGATAAACTGATAACTTTTCCCTACTCTTCCGGTCTAAACTTTAAACGAGGTAATAACTCATAAACAATAAATCTGATATAAATGTTACACATATCAACATTTCTAGAAAATATTCTCTGTTTGAATCTGTGTTCACAAAATGGGAGTTGAAAAAAACAAAAGTGAATAATTTAAGGATGCATAAATTGGTGATAAAAAATTTAAATGGTTACAAAATTATGCCCAACTGTTTTCACAGTGATTAAACAAAAAAAAGGACGGGCAAAATTCACACGTTAATGCACGTTGGAAGATGGGATATAGACGGGAATTCAATGTGTAACTGTTAGAAACGATAAACCATTGTTAATGAAAAAACGATTCTGAGCTGAGTTCAGCTGATTGTGTTGCTTTGTAAACAATATATATGTCATGTTATGATAAAGCTACAACGATGCGCGTTTCCATGACAACAACGGCTGTTTTAAAAAAAATTAAAATAATAAAAACGGATAAATAGATAAAAGATCTTTCGATATTTTTTAGCCCAAAGAACCAGGTTTTTCTTGTTATTTCGAAAATTAATAAAAATTTCAAAAAATGACCCGTTTAAAGTACCGACTAGAGAACGTTTTCTTTCGGAAAAGATGCTATACTTGATAATCGGAGTAAGCTTTCTGGTAGAAAAAGTGTACATATCAAACAAAAAATAAACGTTATAGCAAAACCAATACATTTCTCGCTTCGTACAGAATTAAAAAAAAAAAAAAAAAAAATTATAGAAATCAAATTCAGTTGAAGTCCTTCGAGAAAATGGCCGGATCTTGATGAAAAAATACCCTGTACAGTTATCGATTGGACAACCGTTGTTAAATTTATAAACGGTATAATAATTACGATAATATTTCCGTTACGTGCCCGCAGTATACGTAATATTAATAATTATTTATACAATAAAATTGGTTCGGGCTCGTATCGTGCGCGATAATAATTTACTCGACGTTGGCGATTCGACCCGTTGGTCGTCAATACCGGCGTTTTTCGGGCGACCGTTTCGGCGGAAAATGTATTTTTTTTTGTTTTTTTTTGTTTTTTTTTTTTTTTTTTTTTTTTTTTTTTTAGCGGTAGCGCGACCCGTCATTAATACGCGAAGCATTATATTTCACTGTGTGTGTGTGTGTGCGTCGACTGATCAATCGGAAAATTCGCACGGCTCGGACACATGATATAATATTATACCACGACCTCGCGTTGTATTTTTCGTTCGAATAAAACGGCTCTGTAATGTTGTTATTGCAACGTTCCGTATACGCGGGTATAAAAAAAAATATTTTCCATCGACATCGCGAGGTTACGATAACAACAATATTATTACCAATACCTATAGCGGGGCGAAAAATAACGCGGGGGACCGGAGCGGGGGGGGGGAGATCCGAAACGCGTATCGCGGTCGGCCGTTTTTCGTATTATTATTAGCGTCGGCGGCTATATTTTTTAATAATAACAGAGTGCGTGCGCGCGGTTACACTGCCGCTCGGAGTGCCGTTCAAACGTCGTGACTGCCCTCGGTCGAAAAAAAAAAAAGAAAAATACACACACAAACGCGTTTTGTAATAAATATTTCGATACGGTACTATTATTGATTTTGGTTTGTGTCGCGTTCGTTTTCCGAACGACGGCCGAAACTATTCCGGTTAAAAACAGACTGGTCGCAACAACGTGCCCGCATAACTGAAAAACCGTTATTAATAGATATATTTTATTTTCGTAACTTCAAAATCTGGTAGTGCCGATCGCGTCAAAAATATAATTTGGTCCGCCTCTTTATTATCGACCGATAGCCAATTCTCCAAATCGCATCGCAATATGTATATTAGTATACGAAGTTATGCCATAATTTTTTTGAGGGATATATATTTTTTTTCGTTGGCTACCCTTGGTCGCCTCCCCTCTCCCCGATAAAACGATTAGACACACTTCGTGATGCGACCGGAAACTACTAGATCGCTGTATTCAACAACAACGTCGTTTTGGCACGTCTAGTTGTCGTAATCAATTTGACCGTTTATCATAATTGTTACCCTCGTTCAGCGATCAGGTACCCAGGCTAACTAACCGTAGCATATTGTCGGAATATAAGTCCACCATGTTTGATCGCTTGACAAAATCGTGATAATATTTGAACAATTTTGATGTTCCAATATTGCCATTATACTATATTGTCGATACGAGTGGACGGGGCGCAGCGTTCGTAAAAAAAATCGGGTAAAAGTTACATTTTGCAAAATTGTACGTTATACTCTTTAACTCTGTGGGAAATTTCATCACGGATCGCTGGGCGGCACTGCAATATTTTAATGTGCGTTAAGCCAAAAGTAAAAATAGGAAAATCCGTTGTCGTGATGTAAAAGAATAAAGGGACATTATTCAGGTTTTTTCCTTCGGTCTTGTGAAAAATTATAAAATTTGACGTATATCCTTTTTTTTTTTTTTTTTTTTTTTTCTTTTTTATGAACATTGTCCCTTAATATGATTAACATTCCGCCGAACAATACGGATTTGCGATGCCATAAATTCACCGGCGAACCAAGCGCGCGATTCGGCCGACCCGGTTCGCTCTCGGACGTTTCTCGAAAACGCGCCTGCTGTAGCCGCCCGGGCCCCCCGCAATATTCCGACGTTATTTTTCTTTTTTTTTTTTTTTATTCCGAGGGATTATTCATTTTGTTTTTTTTTACGACGAATACACGCTGTTTTAATATTATCCGACACAAGGAGGCAAAATCGCCGCGCGAGTAACCTACGCAATTACTATATTACGTTACATGTTCGCGGCGTTTTTGGACGCGATTTCGTCCATCTTTGTGCCGCAGAAACGGAAACGACGGCGCAGGCCACGTGCGTGTCAGTTTATCGCGTTTATATTTTCCCGGGGAAATATTACAGTATTATACTATATATATATAGATTGTTATCTACAGATATAATATTATATGTATACTCGTATTTATACACACACACACACACACACACCTATATATTATTATTATATGTGTTGTATTTCTCGTATAATCCAATCGATTTTTAGTTCACCCCTACCCCTTCTCCCCCCCCCCCTTTTATCCCCTTCCCCGTGAAAACCCGTCATACCGTCGTCGTTGCGATCCCCGCGTACATATTGCATTTGACGGTTCAACGTTTGACACGCGAACTTCCCCCCCCCCCTCCTCCGCGTGTATACATTTTACACGGGCTCTTTTTTTTTTTTTTTCCATCGGGACATATTATTATACGACTTTGGGATAGGTAATAATAATAATAATATTACGGTGTACAACGTATAATACGTCCGGCGGCGGCGGCGGCGGCGGCGGCGGTCGGTTTTCGCGCGATGTCCGCAACCACGGTATACCAGGCGAAAATTTCGCGGCAGGCCGTCCGGTTAGATTTTCGAAATCCGCGCCGGCAAATCGCATGATATTCCGTCGTTATTTTACCAGCAGGTACAGCAACAATAATATTATAATATTGTACCTGGTCAATACCGCGCTATATTATCGTTACAAATCGTCGTCGCGACCACCGGCCGAACAAGTGTGCGTTAATAAATTATTATAATCATTATTGTTATTATTATTATTGTTATTGTTGTTGTTGCTGTTATATTATTATGATGATCAATAACGCTTGTTTGCTTTTAATTTAATTTTACTCGTTTACAGAGAGTGTCTGTAACAGTATATTGAATTATGCTCGTTTATTTACAAACTGTGTGTACCGTGTTCGGTGGCGTAATCACGCGGGGAGGGGAATTCGGATGTCCAATCGCCTTTTTGCCTTTTTTTTAATTTTTTTTTTAATAAAAATGATTACAGCTTTGACGAATATTAATATTCACGTTACAGACAGCCTTGTGCAAATTAATTCAAATTGTAAATTCTTAATCTTCCGTGATTATTATCTCCCCAATATTAATTGGATACCACTAAATAACATTGCTACGTCAAATCTCACAACTGTAAATAATTTTGTCTCCAACATCTTAGCAGGTTTTTCATAGCTAAATATGTCACAATTTAACCTGATATATAACCGCCCCGGTTCATTACTAGAACTTATTTTTTTTTAATGTAAGTAATGTAAATGTATTCCCAGTAACTCTAGATCGTGTGTATCATAATGTCTTGTTAATTGAATTATCTGTTGTATTTTTAAATTTTTTCAGATTTTAAGGAACAAATTGATGATTACTATGTATACGTGATTAATTATATGATAATTTAAAAATTGCGATTATAATATAATTAGATCAAGCATAGCATTAATTGACTGGAATGGCCTGTTTAAATGTTTGAATATAAATCAAGCAGTTGATATGTGTTAGTTAGGTTGATATATAATAAATAATATTAATATTAATAATAATAATAATAGCATATTTAGATGGGCAATTACCCAATTATAATATAAAATAATAATACGAATTGATTTAGAGTACAAATATTACAAAAAATTATAGTTTTTATTGTTTAAGAAAGTAATAATTTAAATACATATTGAAAATTGTAATAGTAAAACACATAGAAAAAATATCGACACAATATACGTTTACGAATAACATATACGATAAATATATTGCACAGTATTATATTTATTATTTTAGGAAAGTAAACAATTTAAATATGCATTAAAAAATGTATAGTTGACATGAAAAAAGATCAATATTATAACTATTTACTAATAACATACGTCTATTTACGAAAGCGTTTTGACTGTATTTCGTGGACTGAAATGGCATATAAATGGTATTCGATTGTCTAGTGCTACGACTAACAACAGAGAAATTTAAATTGGCAAGTAGATTGGGACAATAAATGCTAAATGCTTCCATTAAGTAACTTAAATATGAAACAGAGATCTAATCTTATTCGTCTTGTTTCCGACGATTCAAGGTTTAAATATGTGAACAATGACTGGTAAGAGGAGTGAGGTTACATTTAAATGATACTGTTCTCAAAAACCGATATTTTATATTGTCATAGAACTTCATTTCAAGTATAATATCGTGTTAAAATCGATTTTTAGTTTTTAGTTTCTTCCAGATTTTTCTCCAATTAAAGCTACTTCAACTACGAACATATATGCACTAAAGTACCTCCTTTAGTCTACTGTTCCCGCGCACGTCTGAATTTTGAAAATCTCTTTTCGAACTCTTCTTACTACTTGACAGAATTTTACACCGGTCGCCATTCTGACCCAACCCCATTTGGCGTTTCCTAAAACTGTTAAAATACTGTTAGGGTGTTGTGATTTCCTCATGCAAGAACTTTGGTGATAACTAAATGACACGGATAAATAAAATATACCTACTTGTTCCTATCTCGTGTGATAAGCCATGCGTCTGTAGTTTAATTCGTGGCTACTTTATTTGTGTCATATTATTAACAACCGTGGTCTTGGTCACCACGGTAACAACGGTAATAAAATAGATACAGCAGTTATCCTTCACAATATAAAATTATATAATAAGACTATGAGCCTGGAATTAAATAGTTCTCGTACGGTTTCAACGATAAACATTATTGTGATATTATGGAAGCTACCATTCTAATTTATGTAATTTAAATGATTGCATTTCATACGACTTTTAGAATCTGTGTTTGTAGTTTATACAAATAGTGTATTGGCAGATCCGGGGTGTCGTATATCCATAAGCAAATTAACTATAAAACCAAGATAAATACACTGCAGGGGCATCATTTCAATTTTTCTGTTGTTGGTGCCAACATTTTTGCAGGCCATTTTAAATCGTTTCGTACTACAGTAGTTCGCAGTAGTTCGTTGTCGAACAAAAAAGTTATAATTATAACGACGAAAGTTATTATAATAATTATTATTCGAAAACACAAACAGTACCGCAATCGACCGCTGTACCTAAACACTAAATATTCGTATTGTTCGTTTTGTCGTACCGGTTTTTTTTATCGTTTTCTATAATCTTTCATTCGTTCTATCACAAAATACCATAAACGTTACTTAACTCGTATTACGCGAATCGTAAACCAATCGGAGTAGAGCCACTCAATTATTGAATTGTACGCCCACGTTGCAGCTGCTGTCTATTATATTACACCGTATTATAGCAATGTATTTATTTTCGTTAAATCGAAAGTTTAGTGCTAGTGGTTGGTTGGTTTTTTTTTTTTTTTTTGTTCGTTATACCTACTACTGTATATTGGTGGAATGTTTAAAGACATTACAATTATATTTAATGAGTTCGTAAAAAATGCATAGAACTTTTAAGAACAACGGCGGAAAAAAAAAACTCTCCCGTCTTATTAATAATGCTCTCGAATCGTGCACTGTCCCTGATTAATGATGATGATATCTCGTCGTATATCAAAACAAAAAAAAAAAAAAAAAAAAACCAAAATTATACGTATATACGTAGAATTTAATTAACAAAATGAATCGTTTTTACTTTTTAGCTTCGAATATTATTTTGCGTTAAAGAAAAAAAAAAAACAAAAACCTTTGAAGTGATAATGTGTGTCACTATGAATGCTAAAACATAGTGAACATTTTTGAATCACGTTTTAATGATAAAAAGCAAAAAAAAAAAAATCTACTCGCTATTATACGTATATACACGATCGCGTTGAAACATTACGACGGCATAGTTGCGTATCGGGTGATTTAATTAATACCGGACCCGTTCACGACGACAAGATTATAATATTGTTATCAAACGTCGGCACAAAGAGTCGGTAGGTACATAATATGATGCACAGTGTATTATCGCCGCCGTCACGTACATTTTATAACATTACTACCTATACACTGTACTGCGTACACAGATGCAGAGTCTGAAAATACGTAGGACTCGAGCCCCAATAGGTTTCAGACTTATTAATATTAAAGACTAAATTACTTGAGACGGCTCGGGGATGGTTGAGCTCCTCTTCTAAGCGCCTCCGTGATCACGTCTATGTATGTATTAGTAGTGTAGCTTGGGGGGGGAGAAGTTTTCTGAAAACATTGTACATACCATAAAATATCGCGGCCAATACAGTCGAGGTCTTGATTTGTTATAATAAAAAAAAAATAATAATAAAAAAATATATTTTCTTCAATATATCTGTGGATATGTTGGACAAGGCAAAACTAGTTATTATTAATTTATAACCTATATAGGCTATAGCCGTTATTAAAAGGGGAGAGTCATCATCCCTCCCCCTCAACTCTGCCACTGGTATACGTATAGCATATAAGTAAACGCAGAGTGATCAACGACACTCGTTATCTCGAAAAGTGTTCGTTTTTTTCGTCAGGGTTTGTATTTTAATGGTTTTAACATTTTACGAGCGTTAGTTTCGGGGGTGAAAATACTGAATTGCACACTGTTAAAACGGCAAACCTATAAAATAAGTAGAATATTTCACGTTCGAAAATAAAAACGAATACAAATAACGGTAAAATGTGACATTTAATTGGGCTACTCGTTTATAACTATTTCTAAAAAACAAATTACCAAAATAATTAATACTGTCTTAGTCACGAGTGTCTAAAAACGTTATGTTGATCACGCTGTATATAGCGACGTAACATAATATTACTCTGGCAATGTTTTTACCGAACCGCGTATAGTTTACTTCTCGTATTGTTTGCCTCTATATCGTACTTAATAATATACTCTTATTCTCGTCATCCGAACATTTCTGTATCCGTCACAACGTTTTTCCGTCAACCCCACGTGTCCTCGAATATCCACCCCAGCCACTCGTTCTCCTAATATTCTGCTATCGCTTAACTTCGTCTCGTCCCTGATAACACAAATATAGAAAGACTTGGTAATTTCTTATGTTCTTACGAGTGGAATGGGAACGGCTAACTGAACAAACATAATTTTGTTGCGGCGTTTTGACGGCGAGATCCCCGCGGGATATTGCACATCTTTATACCGTTCAATTATAGAACTTCTGTACACATACGTCCGTCCGTGTACACCCGGACAACTTAAACTCGAAAATTATTATTGTTATCGTCGTTTTTATAGATAAACTATAATAAAACTACGGCAAGTACCGCGGAGAGAAACCGCAGATATATCGGAGAAAATACGTATATACGTACCACGTACGTATCCACTCTGTGTATATATATATATCCGTCTGACTGGAGGTTCGTAAAAGTTTTATTATATCGGGTATAAGTATAATAGGCACTTATATTATAAAGGTATACGACAACGGCGGTCCAAGTGGAAGTATAAGTTTCAGTTCGGCCGTGACGGTTCGCGATGCAATTGATCGAAACGGATATTATTCTATAAAATAGTATTTATACCATATCGTATAGTAAGTACATCCGGCCGACCGGCAGTTTTTCCGTGACCCTCCTCCCCTCGCCCTCCGGCGAATATTCCAGTCCTCTATATAGACTACACTAACAGAGACGATCAGTAAACGTCTCATTTCCTAAAACCGAGGTTACCGTGTATAAATATTTTGATAACGCCATTATATAATTGAAAGGTAAATTCTGTGGGATATGATTTTAATATGTCGTATCGTCCGCCGTGTCATAGTTATCAAATACTACGATATGGAGATACGGCTGCAGTACGTGCACCGTTTACTAAATAATAAAACAGCTATTGTTACAAAACAGTTGGGCAGTTCGGCAGAGTTAATCGGTCTGCAGCGTGACGGGCATTTTTTCGTAGACGCTGGCCATTTTATTTTTGCAGTTTTTTTCGTTCGCTGTTTTTGCGCTGCATCTCAGGGTCAACGTTTCGGTTGAAAACTGTGGTTTTTCTCGCGGAGCTCCCCCTGGAGTCGCCGGGCGAAACGTGACATTTCGAACGTGTCGCTGTAAAAGAAAAAAAAAAATCGAAAACCGAAAAACCCGAAAAGAAACTGAAAATATTAATAATAAACTATACGCCGTCACCGGCGTTGGCGCCCGTTGTAAAACTCTAATCCACCCCAGCAACACTTCTCAAAAAAAAAAAAAAAACTGCAAAGTCTGCGGTATAGTGAAACGGAAAACGTTTTGGCTTTCGCACGAGTTGTTATTTTTAGATAGGAATAATTTTCCACAATACCGAATAGGGTGATAAATTATCATAATACTATAATACGTTAATTCAAAACATCCACCCACTGCCCTTCGATACGGCGTGCGCGTTTAACAAGGGAAAACGACGACATCAAAAAAAAATCGCGCAATAAAAATAATATAATATCATTACGTCGTTGAAACCGTGTTATCGCGTTTATTTATTAATTTATGTATTATAATATACTATATATTTTACGAGCGAGCTTTTTTATAAACGCAATTCGATATATTGCCATAAAAAAAATAATACTTAATAAAAAAAACGACGGATATACTTCGCATACGGGTGCTGCAGCTACTGTTGTACGTGGAAATTTGGGAAGATAGGATGCTGACGGGAACTCAATATATAACTGAAAGCAGCGATTAACCATTGCTAACAAAAAAACGATTCTGAGCGGAGTTCAGTAGTTAGTGTTGCTTTGTCGACAATACAATATATGTTATATATGATATGATTATTATGGTAAAATGATTACAACAATGAGCGTTTCCGTGACAACAATGATTGTTTAAAAAAAAAAAAAAATAATAAAAACTTAAAAATAAATAAAAACGGTTGCCAATGACCACCTTATATTTAACCTAAAAGATTGAGGTTTTCCTCATCTCGAATATTAATATGAATTTCAAAAAAAAAAAAATAGAGAGGAGGAAAAAAATATAATTTTCATTTCAATTCTCGCCTATAAATATAATATTATGCGGAACGAACAAATTATTCTAAATCGTACCGCCGCAGTTGTATACGGCATTAGCTGTATTTTATATCGCCGGGCGCGTTTTTTTTTCTTCATTTTTTTTTTTTACACGGTGTAAATTATCGTGCTCGTACGCGTTCGGGCGGTACGATTTATCATATCAATACCCGGCGAAAAATATTGTAATAATATTCTCGCGCCGAATGCGGGGAGTCCGGGCGGCATAATAGTACGAAATAAAAACACGATGACGGCGGCAGCGGCGGGAAAAGCGCATAAATATTATATAACTATATATATATAAACGATTTTTCGGCACGAAAACGAAGAAGAAAAAAACGCGAGTGGGGGGGGGAGTGAGAGAGGGAGAGTACTACGAGAAGAAAAAAATAACCGAAACGTTTTGTCGCCGCTTACAGAGACAAAGTGTGTGTATAATATTATTATACGCGGACGATGACGACGACGACGACGACGACGACGACTGCAAACGGTTTTTCGTTGTTTCTTTTTTTTTTTTTTTTTTTTTTTTTTTATCTTTTTTTTTTTACACGCGGCTTTGGGGGTGTTTTTCGCCTCCACTCCCGTTCCGCCCGCCCGCTCTGCTGTGTCGTATATTATTATATTATACGATACATATCGTACGCGAGAAGACGAACAGTATCATCGTCGTCGTCGTCGTCGCACCCTCTCGTTTATCCGCGACGTGCCTATTACTTAAACCGCAGTGACGGGCGATTTCGGGGGTCAACGAAAAAAACCGCGTTGCAAAACTGTTGTTTTCCGTTGTTTTCCGGCCACCGTATTATTAACTCGGGCGTTATCGATCTCAATTACGGTTTCAGCGGTTTGACACGCGCGACACGGCGTTGTACAACGCGCATACGTGCGTTTCAAAAATAATAATACCCAGATAAGCGATAATTCCTGGGACGGCGATAAATTATTAAGACGGTGATAAAAGATACATGACAATGCAATTTAATTATCACGACGAAGACGAATAATCGGGGAACAGTTGTCTGGACAAAAAGAAATTGAACGCGAACGTTTGTTTGGTCGGATGGACGGATGACTGATGTGTTGTTATCGCTTCCCGCCCGAGCCCGACCCAATGGACGGATTGAGATGATATTGCGCACTGGTGAAATTCTCGACCGGGAACAACGTACAAGTTCCCGGGCGACGCGGGCTAATTGATATTTTTAATACGAAAATCGAATTATTTTTATTGGACTTTATCATTGGACTAGGTTATATTTACATATGAAATGATAAAAAAAAAAAAAAAAAAAAACATTACAAATACATACAAAACAAACAGACAAATAATAAGGCGATCCGCGGAAAGGCCGTAAACCGTAATAGTCGTTGCACTAGAAGACACGCTGGACGAACCGTAGAAACTGTACGGTTCTCAGTACATTATTGATCGCCGGTGATTAAATCGAAACTTCATTTTAAAGACGGCGGGCGTACTTAGAATTTTAGTAACCCGAGACACATAGAAAATACTGCTCCTCAAAGCGGGGGAAAAAAAAATTGTTCCTTAAAGGGAAAAAAAAAAACAATATTTCCCGTTGTAAAAACGTGCCCGTAACCTGCGTTTAACGGCGTTACAGTAAAACGGTATTAAAATAGTTTAAATTTTTTTTTTTTTTTTTTTCATTTATCGACAGCCGGTGTCAATACGAATCAATGGCGTCCGTAGGGTAATTTTCGGATCGGGGGGAAAATATCAATCTAGATCCCGAAACAGGTATTCGTCGCGCACACACCGGGTTGGTATTTCTTGAAAAGGAACGAGGAAGAACGGGTGCGCAATCATGTAAACATTAGCGGTAAAAAAAAAAAAACCCGTCAAGTGCTGAAACCAAGGCCTTTAGAACGTTATTAATCCGCCGTTACTACAGCGTACGTTAATGTACGTTCGAGTAGATAATTGGACCATTTGTGTTCAGAGATTACCATACGGAAAATCGCAAATACCGTTGTGCAGGAATCGCGTAA